ACATGTATGCATTTTAAATTTTTCAGAGTGTTTTATTCCATATTTCCGTTACATTTTCAGAAAAGGCGTTATGATAATAATTACAAGTGGTATCAAAAACATGTGCTGGGGCATTGCTTCCGGTGTTAGGAATGCGATTGTAAATAAATTAACACATGTATGCAGTTTAAATTTTTCAGAGTGTTTTATTCCACATTTCCGTTACATTTTCAAACAATAATGTATTATTAACAGTTTCATTTGTACATGTGCAATTAAAGTCATAAGAACGAACCTCCTTCATTTTTATCATATGTAAAATCAGTAAAACGAATGCGAGCATGTTCATCGTTATAAAAATGATGCCGCCCACAGAACATGAATCTCCATGTACATTATCAATTCTGCTCTTTTCGCGGTCTACATTTCCATCTCTGAGTTTAATCACTCGAAGTAGTGTGGATACCATTTCGACAAGAAAGGCGAGCAAAATACAATAAGCCCTTTTACTGGTTGTCAATATTCCTGAAACAAAGCCAGCCCAACGCAGGTAGACTCGGGGTTTGAGCTGTCATCCGTCGGCTTTTAAAAGTTAACTCGGTGTCTCTAGATTCACAATTACGTTTCTATTAATTGGGTGTGTAAAGCAATTCAAAAAATATTCAAAATACCTTTACATATAGGAGTCTTAGTGTCGACAGCTTGAGCTTCACTGAACTCCTCGTCCTCCGTCTCGGATTTGGAATATCGACTTGCTTGATTGTTCTCCCCTTTTTTATGAGTTAAACTTTGACGCATATTCAAGACTGTGCGTAAAGCACAGATGTGTCTGCGATTAGCCATCTTGTTTTTCATGACATGAAGGTAACACACGGGTGTTGTTTCATTTGAAAGGCCCGCATTGTTTTTAAATTCGCCCTTCGTATCTAAATTTATAATCTCTCGCGCACATAAAATCTGGAGATATGCAGTCTCCTCAGCACCAATCATGAAAATATGTCGAACATTTCTGGACAGTTCTCTGATATTATGTAAAGCGTCAGTTATCTCAGCATCTCCATCATGCCACTCAATCCCATGATGATTAGTTGTGAGTCTATTGTTTGTCTCACGCCAGCAGGTAGAAAGGTCCAAGTACGGGTAAGGCGCATTTAAAACCCAATGCGAGAGAAATAAACCCTCAATATCAGCAACTGCAATTTCTTTTGGTAAAAACTTTCCATTTTTGCCACGAAAAGCTTGGATACTGATAATAATATCCATGATGATTTCCCCACAAAAGTCTACCGTGTAATGATAAAGTAATCAAATGTGTATAATATTATATGCCAAGTTATTGGGAGTGGTGGGGGAATAACCTGTAGAGAGCGACACGTACAATATTTCGTTTCCATTTATTTTCAGTTCACAACGCAAAAGTTACAGATTTTTGTTTATCCGCCCTCAGTCGTTCTTTTTCAATATCAATTGCTAAACGTACATCTTTAATAATGTCAAATGTATATAATGTAACAAGTTGGCCAAAGAAATTAAAAAGATTGTCAATATCGACATTTTTCTGTACAAGATTATTACGGGTCATTTCGAACAACTGTTGAAAATTTTTGAAAATAACTTTTATCATGAAATCATGTGGTATGAACTTTTCTCTATTACACTCTGGAGTTTCTAACCACAAAAAATTGGTCAAATTGTCAACAACTGCTTTTTTATATCCGTCTCCTGGTACATTTTTCAGATATTCTATACGTTGATTAATCCATGTTGTACGCCATGACAGAGACCGTATAGTACTATCCAACATGTAGATATCAGCTCTCGCCACGCGGTCAGAGATGAGGATCGCTTTATACCCAGAATGTGAACGTGTAAAACTGATAATTTTATCAGCTCCGCAGTATACCGATGCGAATTTTTCATCGTTGTCTGATGATTCAGATTCTTCAGAGAAATACTCCAGCATAAGTGGTATAGAAGCTGCCACGGTATGCCATTCCGAAGGAGTTAACGTGATCACTGTCCGGGGAAATGTTGCAATTATCCGAACTACTGTTGTGAACACGCCTCCTTCAGTCCACTGTAAACCGGTGGTCACTTGTTTCGTATGTACTTTATTTATTGACAATGTATCGGGAAGTAACAAAGGCTTGTCCGTAAAAGTTCCCACTAATTTTGATTGCTCCGTCTTTTGTTTCTTCATCACGGGCGGTCCAGCCATTGTGCCAACAGACACATCCTTCAGATCACATTTACGCTTACTGCTGGCCGTTTGCGATGATAGACCGTCTAATTTTCCTTCAAATAATGACATTTCCTGAATAGCCGTATAATATCCCGTAGATATGGGACTCATGGTGTTAATACACGCGTTATCGTCAAGCGCGAAAGAGATGTCTGACATGATTCTATACGTCTGAATATGGTCTCAAGAGCAACAAAGTTTTATATCCATGTGTAGATGTAGTGGGGGGTGAGGGACGCATGCGTGATAGTATCAATAATGGTGTTGCAGCATAAATGGTAAGTATCTTTTTGATATTATTTTATGTCTTTTAATCGAGAGTGGTGTATCTAAAAACGCGGGTGGTGTTGCACCGGATATACCGCTATTGTGCTAACACCAGCTACCGCACAGTGGGTGTTTACACAATTGGGCCTCTTGGCTCGTGCTATTTGATTTTCTACCGTTGGTAGCTCAATACCGAGACAACACAGGTGTATAGTCGATTAATACATCTTTGAAAGTTGACAGCTTTTTGATATTAATATCCGGTTTGAATGTTTATAGACAGATTAATGAGTGTTTCCAAGATATATGGTGAGGTGCACTTTATTTCAATTCGTAGTTCATTCACAATTCTCATCATGTCAACCGCGAACTGCTCTTTCAGTGATTTTAAAAGTGCAGAAGAAATCTTCCGTCAATACCTGACTTTTCGCAAAAAATTGTGTCGTGATGGTGTGGTATGCCATAGTGCTGATGAACAACAGAAAATGTCTTATGAATCCAGACTTCGCATTATACGAGCGGCCGATCCACGTGATTATTATGCCCGAAGATATGCTCCCCTGGTACATAGAAGAGTATACAAGCCAAGAGCGCATCCTGTAATAGATCTGACTTATCGAGCTGATATGTGCAGGTTTAGAGAAGAATGCGCCATATATGTTAAC